ATTGACTCCAAAGAATGTCCAGTTTCAATTTTTAAGTAGAAGCAGGATAGAGCCTTTGAAGTCAGGGTTTGATTCCTGGCTCAAGTGATTAGCTTTGTGCCCTTGGAAAAATAGCTGACCACTCTAAGCTTCAACTAAACATAAAATATGGTTATTGCTGCTTTCCTCATAAAGAAATAATGAAAAATGCCTACTGCAATGTTTTATACAATATAAATAGCTTAGAAAATGGGAGTTTTACCATTAGCACATACAGGTAAGGGGCTCAGGGACATTCTAAAGGGCTGGAGAAATAGGTGATTTATTCTAGTGTAGTCATGTGTCACCTACGAAGAATAAATAAAGAAGAGAGACAAGAAGAAGAAAGGATGAAAACAGAACTCTGGACAGCATTGTGTTTAAGGGATAGGCCCAGGAAGTTGACCCGCTGAAGGCCACCAAGAATGAAGACTTGTTCTTGCCATCGAGTCGATTCTTACTTATGGTGACCTCATGTGTGTCAGAGTAGAACTGTGCTCTATAGAGTTTTCAATGGCTGTGATCTTTTGGAAGCAGATCACCAGGCCTTTCTTCTGAGGCACTTCTGAATGGATTCAAATCACCAACCTTTTGATTAGTAGCCTAACGCTTAACCATTTGTGCCACCCAGGGACCTTGAAGGAAGATAACTGCCTGTAATTGTCATATAATTACTACGGTCTTTAATGTAGTCTGGTTTATGCAATATTTCCTATGTTACACCCCCATTTTATAGATGAGGCAGAAGATTCAGAGCCTTTCAATGATTTTTCCTGTGCCACATGGTTTGTTGGGGAGCCTTGGTGGCACAGTGGTTAAGAGCTTGCTGCTAACTAAGAGGTCAGCAGTTCAAATTCATCAGTTGCTCCTTGGAAATCCTATGGGGCGGTTCTATTCTGTCCTATAGGATTGCTATGAGTCAGAATCGACTTTACAGTGTGGGTTTTTTACATGGTTTATTAATAGCAAATTTGGAACTTCAACTTGTGTTTCTGATTCCCAGGTCTGGTGTTCTATACACCAAAAAGGCTTTTATTCTAAGAGAAAAATATATACAGAAAATAGTGGTTTAACCACAAACGGAAAATAGTATGTGGTTTGCTGTTAATTATCTATTTTGTGAATCACCAACTTTAAGTAGCTCATCTGGGGCTAGATACTCAGTCCCTGTCTTCACTCAACATCAACTTTTGGTTGCAAAAAAACAGATCTCCTGGTTGTCCATTTGGTCCTCTTCTCTACACCAGTGGTTTACAAAAACAGTGTTCCCTTGAGCCCCAGGGGTTTCTCAGAGGTGGGTTAGGGACTGCTGAGAGCAGTGAAGAGGGGGCAACTCTAAATCCCGTGTCTCTACCTCAATCAGAGAAGCTCTGCTTTATTTGTTGGACTTCTGCAAAAGCTTATGTTTAAATATTGGGCTCCGTATGTGAAATAAGTCCAATAAACCTTATATTGTGCCACCTTGCCTCTATCTGGGGCTGAAAAGAATTAGTATAACCGTGTTCCATGTTGCCCTCAATCCCTCTTGGATGATAAAATTTTCTCGGAGTCAAATTAGAAGCTTATTTCTTCTGGTAGGAGGGAAAGAAAAGAAAGGCGTATGAATATCTAATTACCAATTCCAAAATGAGGGCACAGCCCATATTGTTCATTCATTTCAATCACTGATTCATTCAGGTGGTCCTCAAACATTTGTCGAGAACCTATTATTTGCCAGGCCCCATGTTTTAATAGAATTAATTGTGTGGAAAATGAATATTTAAAATCAAATCATTTTTTAAATGCATTAGAGGAAAAATAATACCACTATGTATGGTAGTGAACCTTTTTAGAATGTGATCTTTTGGCAGCCTGCTTCTTAGTGGAGCTACTGTGGAATTTAAAGAGTTTTATCTCTTTTTGTTTCCTCTTAAAGTGGGGTTCACATGAACTCTCCTGAAAATCATAATCAGACTAGTAACTCTGACTAAAGACAAAAGCTATAAAAATAGAAACTTTAAAAACTGCCAAAACAAAGGGGCTCTTGAACCTTACATCTATGCCAGCTTTTGGCTTTCAGGGAAGCCCAGGACCAATCATCCAAGTCCAAATCCAGGAGTCTAGGCTTCCTCTCTTTCTCCCTCACAATGACCCATGCAAGAGAACAAAAGAGAAGAGAAAGGCAGGAAGATTAACCTATACTGAGAATCTACTCTCCACTAGAGATAGGGCCTGTCACTTGCTATAATTTGACTGTGGGCAGAGTAGGTTTTGTTTTCCCCAGTTCACAAATGAGGGCCACGTGGCTCAAGAAGATGAAGGAGCCCACCCACGGCCACCAAGATAACAGGTGGCAGAGTTGTCACTTAGATCAAAGTCTATGTAACTCCCGAACTGTGCAATTGGATTATGATTGGATCAGATGGTGAGGAAACAGGTTCTTAAAAGAACCTGTAGTGACTAGAGGCTAAAGGTTTGCTATGGGGCTTAGACAAGCTATACTCCAACAGTGCTCAGTAATTTAAACACGTGTGCACAAAAGTCTTGCAGACACACTGGTGTCATTTCTAAATGAGGACCGTCATGTCCATTGCCTCTTCTAGTCCTTGCAGTAATGCCATGAAACAATGCTTTATTATCAATGATTTTTAGCAGGAAAACAAGAGATTTAGAGGGGTGAAGATTCTGGCCCAACAACATCCAGCTAAAAAGTGATGGTGCTTGGATTTGAACCCAGCTCTGCCTGGCTCTGTTTTCCATGGTTTCCCCCCTGCTTCACAGTGGCAGGGAGCTAACACGCTCGGCTGCTAACTGAAAAACTGGAGGTTTGAATATACCCAGAGGTGCCTCAGAAGAAAGGCGTGGTGATTTACTTCCAAAAAATCAGCCACTGAAAAGCTTATGAAGCACAGTGCTGTTCTGACACACATGGGGTTGCCACGTGTCGGAATTGAATTGACGGCAACTGGTTTTGTTTTCTCTTGTTTTGATGAAGGCAGAGGACTGAATGAGATAATGGGTGTGGTGGGGGGGTTGGGGGGGGTACGCTTACCCCAGTGCTTAGTGAAACGTGTAGCAGAGAATCCAGAGCCCAGTGGATCAAAATCGATGGGCTTATGACTTGACTATGAACTTCTTCCCCGCCCTGGGCATATTCATGTAAACAGCCACCATTACTAAAATAACCGATTCCTCCAATGAAATTATCTTGGGGAGAGATCAGATCTCCCTGCCACCTGAAGGCATTGTTATTCTGACTTCTCAAGAGGAATTCTGAGACCAAAGACTGGTCCTCAGACTTGATAATTCTAGGTCTCTCCACACAGCTAGTGTCTTGGCTCTGTAGAATTGGAGTGGTGTACTAAACAATCATTCATTCATTCAACACATGTTATTGAGCACCTACTATGTGCTAGGCCCTGTTTGAGGCAATGAAGAAAACAAAAGTCCTTGCTCTATAGAGCTTATATTCTAGCATGTAGATATTTGCTTTCCTGTCTAGCACTTTCCAATTCGTAAAGTGTATCCATATTTACAACTCCATTTGACCTTGACATCAAACACAAGACAGTAGGGTAGTGCTGTTATCTACATTTACATGTAAGGAAACAGGCCCAGGCTAAATCAGTAATTTACCCAATTCCTCATGGCTAGTTGAGCAAAGCCAAGAGTTTACTCAAGAATTCTTTTGTTTGATTTTATTTTTAATGGTAGCTATGCAGAATCCTTGAAATAATACAACTAAAATCAGTGTAAACACAAAGCACATTATAAATGGTCATCCTGCCACCTCAGAGTTGAGTGAGTATTAATATACTTCAGGTTTGTTTGAAAGATACTTTCATGACTCTCTTCCAGATTAACTATCAATCCATTAAAAAAAGGAGGTGGATCTCAGCTCAAATTTTGTTCTTTCCTCAGTGTGATAATGCTTTAAATTCTTTGTTCTGAACCTGTTTCATGCTGCATGGATTTCTTCTTGGTGCATATGCCTGGTGAGAGGCACAGAACCTCCTTCTTAGACCAGAAAGAATGTAACTTTATAGCTGTTCACATGCTTTCTCTTCCAAAGGGCCACTCGAAAAGGCAACCATTGGTTTTGTCTAAAAACTCCAGAGTTATTGCTTCCTCTTGAACTCAAAAACTCTTGACTCGTGATCATATGTGCAAGCTGTGGGAAGAGGAGAGATATATGCAGAGCATAGGAAATCAAAGGCCATCTAACAGCCTAGTGCTCAAGAACTCTCTTTGCCCTTGACCTGGGGGGTGAGGTCTGGGGCTTCTCTGCCACAGAAGCAGCCGCTGTCCTGTCCCAGTGAAGGAAAATGCTCAGGTCTGGTATTTTAAAATTATTTTTGGCAGTGGAGGCTCAGCCAGCTCAGCTTTGGTCCAGGTGATACCTGAGAATGTGGGTGGTAGGGCCCTTGAGAATAAGATGCCCAAGCTTGGGTTAGAAGAATCCCACAGAGAAGCCTATTTGATCCCATGACCCACGCCACTTCTGAGTAGCTAAGAGTAATACATTCTTCCAGCAGAAGTGATGAGTCTGTTTATTGCAGAGTGTGGGGAAAGAAACAAGGGCATTGAGGTAGATGTTTTGGGATGTGTAGGTGTTATAACAGAGGGATTCAAGGTGATGGTCTAACAGGTGACTTTCCTTCGTCTCTAGGTATCACTGTGATAACTTTTTGCAATGAGCTAGAGACCTGCTTAATATGCGTATCATCCGTTAGAATGTAAGGTCCACGCAGGGCAGGGACCATGTCTGTCTTACCCACCTCTACCTCCTGCTCATAGCAGGCCTTGAGAGAAAGTGTTAAATAAACATGTCAATTAGTAAATAAATGCAGTAAGTCACCAAGGCCCAGGGAACAGCAAGGAACAGAGAGTAAGTTGAACTCAGTCTAGATGAGAGCCTGTGTCTCATGGTGCAGGAGCTGAGTTCTATCTGCCATGCCCAGCCCAGCTTTCTGGTCAACCTCCCTTCCACGGGGCACCCTCACCTCGGCAGACTGGCCTGTGGTCACTCCAGGCCGCAAACATGTCGCTCACTTTCATACAGGTGATCCGCTTGGACCCTTGCAGGTCATAGCCCTCGTTGCAGGTGAATTGGACGCTGGATCCTAACCTGGGAGACAAGGCATGTCCGTGAGCTTAACCCCTGGGCTGTGCCGAGTCCCACCCTGAGTCCTTTCTGGTTCCACAAAGAAGTACCACATTGAACTTTACTTCTCCTTCTGGCCCTTAAACTCTGCTCCACTGTTTTATCAGTTAAAATCTCCATTGGAACGTCGCTCTTCATCTTCTTTTGGACAATTTAATGGTTTTAGGATTGCATTAAAAGGTGACTTTGTGAGCAAAATAGCAATCCTCTGAGATAAGTATCAATTAGGGCAGCTACGAGTGGGTGGATGATACCCATAAACTTTAATGAAAATGGAGGATCATGGGAAGATGCCTTGATAGTTAGAAACTTTGCAAACTCCATCTCAGGGCCCTAGTGTTCCCTAGATTGTCAGCAATGTGGGCTGTCTGCTGGTTTACTGATGAAGGCGGCCCTTTGTAGTATGGGTCTGCCAGGCAACACTGGCAGTCTACAGGCCACCGCCTGAAGGCATAGGCACTGATCCCGGGACTAGACTAGGAAAGAATGTCAGAGGCCATCACCACACGGTGTCTGTTCCTGTGTCCACATCATCCTCTCCATCCCACCTCCAGGAAGGCCAGGTTCTGCCTTCTCCCAGCCAGGCCACCCCACCCTTCATGCAATCAGAAGGTTCCCAAACAGATCTTACCTGAAATCCGAGCCTAGTCTTTTGCCCCTTTCGGGTATGCCAGGATCTGGACACATATTATGCCCTTGGGACACACCAACCTGAGTTACTACAAGGCAAAAAACAGCACATACAGAGATGGACAGTCACAGGCAGGCACCAGCTAGGAGCTAGGGCAACGTCTCAGGGTGGAGGTGGAGACAGAGACAGAAGGAGGGACAGCTCCACTGGGGCTGCCTGGGGCTGCTGGGTCTGTTGGGCTGGGGTTTCCTGAGTGTGCAGTATGGGTGTGGCTTTTCACAAATTTCTTGGGGAGCCAATTCCAAGTGAAATTGAGCAAGAGCATGTGGGCTCAGAGGCAGGCACCCCACACCAACAAACCACCCGGTTCCCTCATCCCACATCAGAGGCCAGAGGTGGAAGTCCACAACCCTCCTTCCCCCACCCCCCCACCCCTCATGGCCTTCCCATCCTGAGCTTCAGATCTGGGGACGGTGACTCTAGATGAGATGAGCCCCCAACTTCAGTCCCGAATGGAGAAATGACTCAAAGAAAGTTAAACAAAAGGTGGATGTGTGATCAGAAACAGTAAAGAATGCAAGAGAAAGCTGCAGACTGAAGTTCAAGGCAGGGAATTTCACTCATATGTGGATATTTCTGCTGAGAAACTTCTTCCCGTCAGACACTTCTCAAGCCAGAGTAAGTAGTAACCAGAGTGCCTCCCACCTGATACCATCAGCCAAGGATGCCGAGCAGCGATGGCACCTTGGGCAGGTGGCGTGACACTCTGACACTTGCCAACACCGGAGTCCTGTTTAGCAAAACCATATCACAAGTCATCTTGGTAAAGGAGAAGCTTTGTCAGGGAGCAGCGGATACACACACAGTTTTCTCCTGTCCGCAGCTGAAAGGGTGGGGGTAGACCTCCTACCCCTGCCTGTTCATTGTTCTTGGATGCTCCTACTGATGGGGCTGGAACCCACTCACACCTTTGAATTCCCGACCTTGGGGCTGAACAGAGGCTGGGAATGGGAAGACAGCCTGGTGAGAAGAGTACCGTTCAAAGACTCACCAGTCCCAGCATGCCAACAGCCACCTCTGGATGAGGGATGAAAGACAGTCTGGAGCAATGTTCCCCTGAGTTTGTCCTTTTCCCTCCTCATTCAATGTCCCACAATATGAGCAAAGAGCTCCATCACTCACTCACTCACTCATGGGTACACAAGCATTAACTGAGCACCTACCATGCGTAAGGCCCTGTTTTGGGTACCACGGGAGATGTCAAGGGCAGTCAGATACCACTGTCCTCAAGGAGCTCGCAAGTGAGTGAAGACATGAAACACAGCCATGAACTGCTGAACCCTGATGGCGGAGGTGATGTGTGAAATGAAAGATACAGGCACAGGGATGCTCAGAGGAAGAATAGGTCTTGTATAGACGGGAGAGGCATGAAAGGCCCTTGGGGAAGGGTTGAATATGGCCCTTGGAAAAATATGGTCATTGAATATGGCCCTAGGATTTGGACACATGGAAATGAGGGCATGGAATTTCAGGCAAAGAAAAGGCCACGGGGGTGAGCTGGGAAACATGGACACAGAACCAAGGGCTACACAGTGTGGCCAGAGTAGGAGGGAGGATGATGTGTGACTAGGAAGAGTTGAAGGTGAGGTTTCAGAGGTCAGACTTATAAGGGGTTCAAGTCTGATCCTGAAGACAATGGGCAGCAGGAGAATGACATGTAAGACGGACTGCTAAGGAGGAGGCCGGTGATTGGGAGACAGGTTAGGAAGCTTTGTGATCTTCCAGGTTAAAGACAAGAGCCTAGTAGTGGGGATGGACATGGGTATGGGCAACATGGCAAAGAAAGAATCACTAGGTTCATGAAAGACTTGGAGGGGGAGGGAGGAGAGGGAAGAGGGAATTTCTTGGGCCTGGATAGCTGTGAGGATACAGGTGGTCCAATGGAAGCAAGGAAGGTGTGGAGTTCCATTTGAGACTCATGAATCTGAAGCTCATGGCCTGGTGTAGACCCTGTTCAGTCTCCAGGTAGCCCAGGGCTTGGCTGACCAAGGGAACCTGGGGAACATGCTCAAGTCAGACACCAGGTGTCCCCTTGGTGGTGTAGCAATGAACTTGAGGCCTCCTGGGTAACCTCCCTTTCTCCAACATTCCACCCTGCCAGGTTACTACCAGTGGACACTTGTCCCCTACCTCCATCCCCTTCCTTTCCAAACCTCCACCACCAAGGCAAGTACCCCTACATCCTAAACTTAACAAACTTACTGTTCCCACTAGTCCAGGACCCTTCCTGCCAGGGAAGAGGATGGAAGTGCTGTCTCCCAAAGCAGAGCAAGCTCACATCCTGCCTACTTGAAGCCTCAGTGTTTTGCAAATAATGGGAAGGAAATATTCCACCAAGAAGATAACTGGGGACTCGAGGATATGGGGGGAGGGTAGAAGGAGAGAGAAGACTCCATTCTAAGCAGGTGAAGATGACAGTCCTGAGCTGTACTTGCTGGTTTATGGGTTGGTGGCTGACAAGCCAGCCCCTCTTACAGCCCCATGGTGATCTGTCCCTACTGCCAACTTCCAAGCTAAGCACCCACCTTCTTTAGGTCCTGCTTACTCAAGCCTATCTAGGTACCACACCCATCCCAACAACCCGGCGACCACGGCATGGGAACCACACAGCCCCTTGTAGCACACTGAGGATACAGTGCAATTTCCTGTCCCCTGTCTTTGCCCTCTTATTTGGTATTAACACCAGCCAGTAAGCAGATAGAGCAAACGGCTGATGGATGAGGATGGGCTGGACTAGAATAGAGAGACCATGGCAGAGCCCACCCACTGAACACAGCCCCTGACCCACTGAGCAGACTCCACTGCCTCCCCTTTCATCACCTAGACCACAATGAGGCTCAGGCAACACCCTGGACGTTACCAACCCCGCCGGTGATGCAGTTCACACCCCCAGTGCCCTCTTCCCTGTGGAGGACTAAGCAGGCGACGGCATTCCCCCATGGACCTTCAAGGTTCCCCAGGAAATGAGCAAACTTAAATCTCAGTGAATAGTTTGCTGTCTAAATTACAGATGCAAAAGGGTTTTCCCCTTTGCTTTCTTCATTTCAGCCTTCACTGCCTATTCAAAACCAGCTGCTTGCTTATAACATTAATTTGCTGTTGGCTGAAGAGGGAAGAGAAGGGAGGATGATCCTTACCCTGGCCCTACCAGGGCCCCCATGGTGAAGAAATAGCCAAAACATGCTCAGAAAGGCAATGACTTCTACCCAAAGGCAAAGATGTGGGTGGTCAGACCAGATGGCCAAGGGGGTCTGTGGTATCCACAGACAGTCTGGTGAATGCAGCAAGTGGGATAAGGAGACACTCACGTGGTCCACCCTTTACCTGAAGTTCAGGACACCTGTCCACAGGAAATGTGGCCAGAACACAAAGGACCAGACACCTGCAGAAATATGGCCCACCTGCTTCCGAGGCCACTTGAATCACATACCCATTCCTCTCTGGGGAAAGCCAAGAGCTGAGACCAATGACTTGTTGGTAGTGAGCTATATATATATATATATATATATTTTTTTTTTTTTTCAAAGAGTTCTTGCATTATCTCATTAGAATCAGGTTTCTTCACCTTTCCGGGGGAGTTTTGGACATTGGACATCTCTGAATAGCTAATGAAAACCATGGTCCCTCTCCCCAGAAAAATGCACCCAAAACTTCACGTGTCACTTTTTGGCGAGCTCAAGGACCTTCTTAAGTCCTAGGTCAAGAAAGCCCATGTTAGACCCACCAGGTCTCCTGGAAGGAAGGTAGGGTAGACAGACTTGCATGCTACAGATGTGAAACCCAGAGGTTAGTGCCTGGGGGAACAGGGCTGCCTGAGGACACAATTGGGGTAAAAATTCCACCTCCCACTTCAGGGCGATTTCCTTAAGGTTTGACTATGGCTCTAGGGCAACTGTGAAATGAAGCCATGCCTGCCTCAGTTCATCTGGTCTCCTGTGACCACAGACAGAAAGAGACAGTGAGGCCCAGGTCCATGGCTCTAGCGTTCTCTGCAGATTCCTGGCCTAACCCTCAGCAATCCTGGCTTCCAGCTCCATCCCCCAGTAAAGCACAGAAGCAAGGTCTCCTGGCTGCCCTCTGCCATGCAGCCTCCTTGGGATGGGATGAGAGCCACATTGGTTTCTAGTTGTACCCGACTGCCAGTGGTGTCCTGTCTCCAATTCGAGGACTTGAAAGACCAGAGAAAGTCCCCACCCCCAGTCTTGGTTCAATAGGGCCCTCTGGATCAAACTGCCTCTTCCCCAACCCCAGTCCCTTCACACAAATCTGCCCAGAGCTCTGGGACCACCGGTGGCTGCTCTCCACTTCTGCTCAATGTTGTTCTAACATCACAGGGAGGTGAGCATGTGGAGGTGAAAGAGAGGATGGGGTCGGGGAGGGCAGAGAGAGTCAGGCACAGACAAGAGCAGAGAGACAGAAGGCAGAGCAGAGAGGGTGAAGAAGAAGGATGGAGAGAAAAGAGGAAAGAAGGAGAAGAAAGTGGAGGGAGAGAGAAAAGGAGATGAGAAGCAGAAGGGCAAAGGAAGGGAAGACCAGAAAGTCAGTCATGTAGGGGACCAAAGAAGGCTCCCTACACTCCCCGACCCCAGAATGAAAACAAAGGATTTCTTGAAGAAACCTCTCTGCTTTCAGCTGCAGCCCTCTGGGTGGCCCAGAACCTTCTGAAACCCCTTCCTGTGCTGGGCTCAGAAGCTCCTTAGCACAGGCTCCCATCACATGCTTCTGAGGCGACATTCCAGACTATTTCCTAGCACTAAACCTCTTTTAATCTTCCAAACACCTGCAGCAGGAATGTGTTTCACAGACATAATCTTCCCATGCCCAAGCTGAGAGCCCCCAGCACTGTCCCACTGCTGAGAGGCAGGGACCAATCCGCTAGTCCCCTCTTCTTTGCCCAGCCAGGTCCAGGGAGCCTGGAGGAGGTGGCTAGGCCCTGAAAAGGGTATTTCCTTCCCTCCTCTTCCCAATCAGGCCTTGGGAGCTGGTATTGGGGCGCTGCATCTCCAAGATCACAGCCCGAGGTTATTGGCTGCTAGAGGCGGAGCGGACTGTCTTAGCAGGTGAAAGTGATTCAAAAGGAAAAATAAAGAGAGAAATGTAGAGTAATGACTCCCTGGACTGCAGTTAGAATGGGAATTGAGGGAGAAAGAGGAAAAGGAAGGAAATGGGAGGAGGAGAAGGCAGCAACGGACAGGCCCCACGGCTACTAGCGGCCACCAGGTCAGCCTGTCCACGCGCAGAGCCTGGGATGGAGGGAAGCAGGCGGAAGGGAAATCATTACAGTATCATTTGGCCTCCCCGCGGCCGCAGTGCCGGCAGGTCTGACCTCGAGCGAGAGGCCCGGCAGGCGGGCAGCAGGCAGACACTTACACACAGACGTTTTCTGGCTGTTATCTTTGCTGGGCATCAGCTTCACGCCTCGGGATTTCAACTCGATTTGCTTCTTGACTAGAGAGGAGGTAAGAAGAAAAATGGTTTAACGTGTTGTGTGTGACCACGGACTGGGGCCCGCTCTTGGTTTGGGACTCTCCATGGAGCTTCTTTGGGCAGGGACAGGCCAAGGGTAGTGTCCACGTCCAGCAGGGCCTCAGACATGGCAGAAGAGCTGCCATCAAGCTGGCCCTCTGCGGTACGCAGACTAGATGGTCTCCCACCGGTGTGCTTTCAGAGGATCTGGGATCCCCCAGTAGCCTCTCACAGATATCTGAGACGTCATTAAAACTACTGAATTCTATTTTCTCCTCAGCAAACTTCTACTGGGCATCTAACATGTGAAGACCTGCAGCCTACCCTCTGCAGTTCTGTCACCTGCAGAGTTTCCCAGAAACCAGTTCCTGTTCAGTTGATTCTGACTCGTGGAGACCCCATGTGTGTCAGAGTAGAACCATGCCCATACTCGGGAGGCGTTTTCCACATTGGGAGAGACCCAGCAGCAGGGATTCTACTTGGGTATCCAGAACCAGTGAGAAGCAGCCCTTGATAGGTAAAAGATAAGTACTTGCATCTGGCCTACTGAGCAGATCAAAAACACCCCCCTTTGGGAAAAACCTTTCTCCCATTTACCTCCCCACTCCCCGCTCTGCACTGGGTCCTGGACCAGCTTCAGCAATTGCCTAGTCCCCTGGACCCGAAGTAGGTTCCATCACATACCCTGAGCCATTCTCCCAGCCTTGGAGAGGGAACAAATTAACAAACAAGGGGAAAAAATAATCTGCCGGCTCCCCTAAGCCAGTAGCTCAGGGTAGGCACAGCTCCTTTGCCCAGACACAGGCATAAGGGGTCCACGGACTCTGAGTGCCTTTTATCCCTGCATAGACTTGTGTGGGCCCATTTCAACAGCATAGGCCCTCATTACCACAGTACAACAGGGTATATACCTGAAGTCTAACTTCA